GCAGCCTTGCTGAGAAGAGACTTCTTTTAAAACATTAGAAAATATTACAGATCCTCACTATACGACTATACGTGAATGTTATAATAAATGTATTAAAACAGAGCTGTTGTAATGATTATTATCATTATTATTGTTTTATTTTATTTTATTTTACTATTTTATTTTATTTTATGTATCAGCTCAGATTTTCCTCGCTCTTGGACGCTCTTAACACTAACCCTGGTTAACGAGCAGATCGAAACGCGCAGGAAGACCTCAATGCTTATTTTTGTTGACAACAGATTTATAAATGAGTCTCATTACGAATACGTCGTCTGTATCGCATTGTCACATGCCTTGTAAAAATTCATAAAAATGTGACTGAGCAACTGATGACTGTTTCAGCGCAGATTTTCCTCGCGCTTTGGACTTTGAACCCTTGAACCCGAGTTCGTGCAGCACTGTCAGAATACATGCAATGCGCGCGTGTATTAGAAAACTTAACGTTCTGCAGTTTATTTACTAATTGTTTAAGGCCATTTCGCGATTTCAATCATCATACAGTAACCAGCAACATTCACCTCTTCCTCTTCTCATTGAAGACATGCGATGCAATCCTAAACAGTCTCTCGCTGTCGGTGCTTGTAATGATTTTTGCGTCTTTCTCCGACAGTTTAAATGCTTCCTCACTGCTGACGTGTGTGCTGCATAATAAATAGTGCGCGCCTCTCACTGTGCGCTGGTTGCTATTTGAACGCGTCATATCATTGTTCGGTACAATTTATTAGGTATTTTCACTTATTCGGCCGAATAATTTCGATTGCCGAATAAGTGCATCGAATATTCGGTGCATCCCTAGATCTCATTATAATATTACCGCCCCTTAATCTGTAAGTTTCCACCCACGGCGCCATCATTGTGATTTTGCAAGCCACAATGGTGTACCAGTTCTAATGCCATGGCAAAAGTTTGAGCAAAACATGCTAACTGGCATGTCTTTGGCTGCACAGAACAATATTTAGAGTCCCAGCCTCAGAGTAGACAAGAAAGCAGTGGATTTATTGATTTATTTACATGCTGTGACAGCCGCTTTTTGTCCGTGTGCTTCGGATGTGTGCACTTAGAAAATCGTATATCAGAAGTTTAAACTAATATGGTTTAAAACGCATGATTTCAGCACGATAATCATGATAATCAGAACCAAAACAGATGTTTTTAGCAGGTATGAGCTGTAATGACGCAGCTCAAAAGCTGGGAAAGAGGGCGGGGAGCAGCAGCTCATTTGCATTTAAAGAATCAGGCACGAAATACAGCGTGTTTCTGCTTCCACTCAAAATGGGCATTTTCAAAATGATATAATAAATGATCTGTGGGATATTTTGAGCTGAAATTTCACTGACACATTCTGGGGACACCAGAGACTTATGTTACATATTGTAAATAAGGGCATAGTATGTCTCCTTTAAAATATGCTAAACGCATTTTTTGTAAGGTAAAGAATATTTATGGTCATAATATAGCCTGCTTTTGCCATGTGAGACTATTGATTATAAGAAATCAGAGATTTTGTTATACGAAATCTGCTTGATTTTCAGTGAAATTCTGTGAGCACAAATTCTATGTGAGCGTGGTAAAAAAACTCATAAACAATGTTGTAGCTACCACTTCTGTTTTGTTTTAATACACATTACTGAGCTCCTTGTAATTATAAGTGTGCATTTCTTTCGCTAGGTTCAGCCGGAGAGGACTCTTGCTGCAAAAGCAGGGCTGAAAGATGTGCAATGGAATGGTAGCGTGTGAGACAAGAGCCTCGCTCGCTCACAGTGTGGCCGCCACATCCCTGCTGCTCCTCCTCCTCGGCATGCTCCCCACAGGCCAAGCTTCAGGTGAGATTATTCACAAAAACCTCCTCCATATTCCTCCTACACCTAAACCTTCCAATGCCATCCACTCTGACACTCTTTAAACATTGATATTTAAGATGCTGACTTCCTCATTGATTTAGCAGGAAGTAAAATCTCCTTAGATTATGAAATATGTAAAGTAACTTGCAGGAATGGAGGTGTCAGGCATTATTATTATTATTATATATATTTTTTTCATTATATTATATTGAATTTGGTTTCTGCATAATTCTGAGTCACAGATGGTTTATAGTGGGATGGTTTTTTGTGTTGGCATCTATGATACTTGACGTCAAAACAAAGGTTTTTGTTCTTTTGTTTGTGTTGCTCTCAGTGCTGTGATAACAGAAATAACCGTTGGACTTATGCTACCGGCTGGAATAAAATGAGCATCATTTCTTTGTTTTCAGTCGAGCATCTGGGAGGTGTTGATGGGGGATGGGCTTTCTCTCTCTCACTCTCTCTCATTCTCTCTCTCGTCACTGAGACCTTGTATGCCTGTTGCCCCTTTCTGTGTGAGTCTCATCCAGTGTCTCCATTACTAACATAGCTCTATATCTTGCTCTGCATGGCAAACTTAGCCTGAAAACAAAGACAGATGTTGACAGGCAGTTGAAGTGTTGTTTCAAAGACTGCGGTGTGTATGTGTGACCTCAGTCACTTGGGTACTTGTGTGTTTGTTTTTATAATGCTCAAGGTATTCTTTGGCCCTATTCAGATGGGATGAGTTTTTATTTTTTTATCTGAGGAGGTCAGATGAATGTGTGTGTGTGGTTCAGCATTTTGTGTTTGTAGACCTCTTTGCCAGCTTTCTGGGTAAAATAACAGTTGGTGCTTGAAGTACATGTTTGCTACATAAATAGCAAATGAAGTCAAAAAGGAGAGTCAGATCACAGATGGTTCAGAATGGCCACTGTAGTCTTATTTTTATACATAATGTTATAAATAGAACACATATATAAGTAGTGTTCTCACAATACTGGAATTTCTAACTTTGATACAATGCCTTCAAAGATATTGATATTCAATACCACATGGAAAAATTTTGCATAAAATTGTGCATAAAACACGGTATCCAAGTTAAGAAAATCCTATGGTCAAATGGCCAAAAGTAAATTATGAACTGAAATTGAAAAGATAATAATAATAAATAATTTTGTTATTATTATTTCTAAGACAGAAAAATTCTTATTGTAATACAAATGCACTGTAAGAAAAAACCTTAACTTGCAAGCTTTAAACCCTCAAACTTTTATTTTGGTGGAAAACTGCAGGGAAGCCTTTTAAGTTTCTATGACAAACAGGTTTACAAATGTTTTTTACTACAAATCTGCATGAAACTCTGTAGTCATCTATCTACAAAAATATTGGAAGTTACGCAAATGTGAAAATAAAGAGTAACTGGTGTATTATTAAAATAGGTTTTGTGATGACCTTTTGTAACAGTAGATGCTCCCAACTGCATCCAAATTTTTACTTGAAATCAAACTGTTCTCTTTTAATAATTTTAACTAAACTGAAACTGACTAATCCTGTCCGAATAGCACTTAACTCTCCGTTCCCAAAACCACACGGCATCTGCACTGTTTCCCCTTAACAACACGTGAACGCAGCTCAACAGGCAAATGAGTGTATCTTGCCTTATGTAATATGTGAGTCACTGAGAACGTTGCGCTTGGAGAATAAATGATAGAGATGGAGGGGTTGAGGGATGGTGGGATTGGGCTGGACCACTGATTCCAAGCGGCCACATTCTCGTTGATTCAGCACCACAAAGTCGAGCCAGGGACAAAAGTGTCCCAAGTGATCCCAAGTAATGTGTGTGTGTGTGTGTATGCATGGATGTATGGCTGCTCACATGTGTTTGGCATGGATCTAGTACATCGGCTGAATGCTACATGTTCAGTCCCCCTACAGACCGAGCAGCGGACAGAAGGGATGATTTTCCAAGGTCATCCGATGAAAGTCTGTCGGTGATATTGCGCCATATTTTGGCTGTTTTTTCTGTGGGTCCACCCAAGCATCCTTTTTCTTTCTGTCCATCTCCTCAGTGTGCTTAAATGTAAAGTGTGTAATTTCTGTGCCACTAACAGCTACAAAGATAATCAAAATGAACAGGATTAAAAATAAACTTGTCTTACTTTTTTTTTTTTTGGACAAATTAGGGGTTTGCCACAATTTTACACCATAAGATGAACAAGTGTTGCTTTGCAATGTTGAAAATTGATTGCAGTTTCCATTTGGTGCCACCAGTAAAGCAGAGAATGCACATTTCATCCTTAATATAAGTTTATGCATTATCCTGGGTATATTTCAATGAATAGTTTGTTTAATTGAGAGTTTTGCGTTTCTGTATGATTTAAGATGTAAAAAATTACATTATAATATATTAAAATTATATAACTAACATTATAAAACTATAACATTATACGATTCTAAACGTCTCATGACAGTTTGTTTTTATTAAAAAATATATATATTTTTTAATCATTTGTTGAATTAGTCGAATAATCTCATTTGTAATTTTTTCTATGATTTGCTCATGCCCCGTATGGTTTCATGGATCATCATGGTGATGTTTTACCTACTAATTGTACATTTTTGTACAAGTCAGATCATACAAATTCATCCAATATCACCAATTAGTACAATACCAATGAATTCTCATGAGAATGGGTTGATAATTTCTCCATTAGGTGATTGGATGTTCCCTAGGCAGGCCTCGAGTCTTAAAGCCAAAGTATACTTCGGTTTTTACGCATACGCAAGGGTCTGAGTACAGTGTGCAAATTTCGTCACCAAAATAGTATGCGCATACTGTACGCGCACCATCCGATTTTTGTAATACTTTGTAATAATTTTTGCATACTTTTTACACACAGGTCGCACATGCACATTGACTTAGTTTTGCACTAATCTGTTGTTGCACTGGCCCGGGCCGTTGTTTCAATTTAGAAAATGAAAGTGCATAGAAAGTCCATTGACAAGCACTTGTGTGAGCCAGTTATGAGAGAGATGCAACTTTATTTTAAAAGAGTATAACAAAATTTTTAGCAGTCATAACTTCTGGAGAAAAATACATCAGACGCTGGACAAAGATGAAGCTTTCTAGAGCGCATGTCGACCGCCTGTGTTCATGTACCTATCAAATGGAGTATACTTTGAAAGGCTACGCATTCGAGTGTACGTATACGTTAGCGTACTTATACAAAAACCAAGTATACTTTGAGCTTTAGTGGGCATAAATGCATGAAATCGACACCTCAATGGAAGTCCAAGATCTTAGATCTGTGATCTGGATTGGTCTGGACTGTTGTAGAACTTGTTGAAGAAATCATATGAGGCTTCTGAATGTTGAACTTGAATCAGATGTGTGGACAGTGACGATGATGACATGGATCTATTGATAAATTTTAGGGATGCACGATTAAGACTTTTTTTATGACTAAATTTGGTAATGGGAGAGTAAAAATATTTTTAAAACGTACACCGTTCAAACTAGGCTGCTTATGTTGAAGTGTTTGGGATGTGGCTTTTAATGATGAGACCTTTTTTGTAATCAGGCTCTCAAAAAGTATATAACAATTTGGATATAGATTTATCGGCCAACATATCGGTTATCGGCTTTCAAAAATAAAGAATAATCGGTTATCGGTATCGGACAAAATTTTCATATCGGTACATCCCTAATAAATTTGTTGGTGCTTTACATAAGCTAATGACACAAAACAAAGAATCATATACTACTTGGCCATGACAATGTATACACCCATCTTCAATAATGGGTTTGCTATTCCAATAAAGACCATTGCCAAACATCAATGCGTCTGAATGGGAGCGCATCCCTACAGCAATGTTCCATCAACAAGCAGAAGCTGTAATTTGTGGATTAATACCTATAATTTGTGGCGTTTGGGTTTGCACATGCTTCAGGACCTGCAATTTGTGGATTGCAACTTTATCGTGAACAGCTTGGAACAAGGCACCTAGATTGTGTCACATTAAAGCATCCACAAAGCTTGGAGATACAAGGAGGGACCAGATCTTATCTTACTTTATGAAATGATGTTATTTAGAACAATTATTTTTATAAAGCTTAGCTATTGCATCGCTTCATTCACATGTGTAGTTCACAAAAACAAACAAGAGGAAGTAGCACAGGAAGGCAACAAAAAAAAAAGAAAGTAAGAAAGCCTTGCTGTGCTCAGAGGCTGATCTTAGGGTTTCTGGAGCTTGACTCAGCCCCCACTATTTCAGAGTGAGAGCATGAAAAGCAGCTCCCTGAAGGCACACAGCTGAAGTCGCTCTGTTTTTAGCACTAGGCACATTGTGAACTAGAGGAGTTTCCCATGTTACTCACTTCTTACTCTGATTTATCACTATACCACTTCCATATGTTATCTAGTGTTAATTCTTACCTCAGCAAAGACCGGTTTCAGACCAGGATGAGGTGCTGGCATAGTGAGCTAATGACAAAATGACAAATAGGCATTGTGAATATCCAAAAAGGAGAAATAAATGGAATTTTCCAACACATTGTTTAATGGTGATTCTTTTCAGGTACTTTCATGTGCATGCTAAATCCATTAAAGGTATCACCTGACCTACTGTTCAAAGGTTTGGGGTCAGTAAAATGTAAAAAAATAAAAAATAAAATGTGAAAGTCTCTTAAGGTCACCAAGGCTGCATTTATTTAATCCAAAGTACAGTAAAAACTGTAATATTGTGAAACATTATTACAATTTAAAATGGCCGTTTTCTATTTTGATGTATTTTAAAATGTAATTTATTCCTGTGATGACAAAGCTGAATTTTGAGCAGCTGATATTCCAGTCCTTCAATATTCTAACAAGCTGATTTGTTGCTCATGAAACATTTCTTATTATCATCAATGATGAAAACAGTTGCGCTACTTAATATTTTTGTAGAAATAATTTTTTTAAGGATTCGTTGATGAATAGCATGTTCAAAAGAACAGCCTT